ATGCGCCACCATGCCCGGCTAATTTTTTCTATATATTTTTAGTTGTCCAGCTAATTTTCTTTCTATTTTTTTCTTTTTAGTAGAGACAGGGTCTCGCTCTTATTCAAGCAATAAATATATACAATCAATATATATAAAAAGCAAAAGGGCAAAGCAGTTGGAACCTTTTCTGTTGACCCTCGGTAGAGCTAATGGGATCAGGGTCACAGAGACCGAGTCTTTTTTTTTTTTTTTAAGCCAGTCAAATTTAGCAGTGGGGCGTTGAATACCAACTTTAGTGACACTGATGTTAATAAGTTTTGATAACCCACTACCATCAGACCAGCCGAGACCTAGTCTTAATAGCCTAGCTCAGGAAGGCCCAGGGACAGGTGTAGAAGGAAAGGCCCAGCGGTGCCTTTCTGAGGAGGTCCTGACCCTGACACATCTGCTAACCTGCTAGTGGGCTCTGGAGCCAGACAGGGAAGCTACCGCCTAGCCCCGTGATCTTGGGCAAGGTAGTTAACCTCTCATTTGTGAGAATAATCATCTGTCCTAGCAGTCTGTTAGGATTTAAAAAGGAAATTAATGCAAAGTGCTTATCTCAGTGTCTGGGCAGAGTAAATAGCAAATACGTGTTAAATCAAAGTCCTGCTAGTTAAGGAAGCTCTCTCCAAATCCTGCCAGTCCAGACGTCAGTCGTCGTCGTTTTGTGGAGAGGCGTACGATCTGCCTCGGTGTGGGCTGGCCCAGCTCTTGGGGTGTCGGCCTTCTCCGTGGGCCTGCTGTCGAGGCCTCTGCCTGGCCGTGGTCCTCACGGTCTTGCCGGAAGGCCCAAGAGCGACTGCTGGGGGTAAGGGGCTGCAGGGTGGATCGCCCCGGCTCAGCCCTGGGAGCCCTGCGGCGCTGCTCGATCCTGCCGCCTCCGGGTTCGGTGTGGCCCATGACCAAGAGTGGCTTTTGTGTCCATAAATTTAATGTACAAAGAATCAAAAGAATAGTTCATGACACGTGAAGATTATATAACATTCAGTGTCCATAAGTAAAGTTTCGTTGGAACGTAGCCACGTTTATGTATTTACACATGTTCTGTGGCTGCTTTTCTGTTGACGATGGCGGGGCTTAGTTGCCTTGACAGAGCCACAGCCCATGCGGTGGAAGGTACGTACCGTCACTTCACAGCAGATTTGCCTCCCGCGATCTGAGGGGCAGAGTGTCGGTGACTAGGGTGAGAGGAAGCCTCCAGTGCGCCTGGGAGCGCCAGGACTCGATGGGGCCTGGGAGCTCCTGGCAGGAGGCTCAGAAGGAAGCACGCTTGGGGGCTGGTCTGTTTACAGGCACTGCTCCGTGCGTCTTCGGCACAAGCCCCTGCGGGCTGTGGCAATGGCCGCTTGCTTGGTGCGTGAGCACACTCGCCCACTGCGTGGCCTGTGTTCAGAAGAGGGTCCTGGCGTTGCGTCTGCTCCGCTGGGACGAGCAGGCCGGGCTGAGACTGCTTGCGGCTTGGGCTTGTGTGCGCAGCTGCGTCTGAGGACAGCTGTCTGGCAGCCGCTGCGGGCGTGTTCACGCTCTGAGCTTCGCCTCCTCAGCCAGGCTCAAGGTGACTTCAGCTGGGCAGAGTAACCGAGCCAGCAGGAGTCACTCATGTTCACAGTTATGGCTTTCAAGGGCCTGGCAGGCTGTGTCAGTGCCCTCTGGGATCTGAGGAGGACGGGCAAACGCCCAGAGTCTGGCAGTGAGAGCAGCCCGTGCAGACGTCGTTTGGTGACTCCCCGCTGGCCAGGCCTGAACCTGGTCGCGGATCGTGGCCCATCCTTGAGCTGGCTCCGCAACCTGGGGTGCGTGTCCTGGCTTGTCCCGCCTCCTGAACCGCAGGGTGCTCTGGAGGGAAGGGCTGTGTGGCGGGGGGGTCCGCAATGCCGCTGAGAGCCCCGAGATTGGTGGGCACAGGCTCTGGACTGAATGATGCTTTTACAGTTAATGATTTCTTTTACAAGAAACTTTATTTTTTTGAGCAGTTTTACATTCATAGTGAAATTAAGTGGATTCCGTATTCTCCTTGCTCCCCCATCCTCCAAATGTCCCCACTGTCCAAATCCCGTGTTACTTACTTTTTAAATGGAGAGCATACTCGCGTGATTCCCAGTGGAAAAAGTCCAGAAATGAGGCCGTGTTCCTGATAGCCACTGTCGTGGCGCAGTCACGCGGGACGTGGGGCTGCCTGCTCCTCGGGGGGCGGCGGTGGACGGGGGCTCTGCTGCGGGCAGAGCCGTCCAGGCCCACCCCGCCAGTCGTCGGTGAGAGGCGCAGTCGCGTAGCACCCTTGCTTTAGAGGTGGGTCTAAGCCCACCTGCCTCCACCCCCGCGGTCCTGAGCCGCCCCTGCTCATCAGGATCTGATTCTGTGATGTCTGCCAGTGCGGATTTTCGTGTTCTTTGGAAAGGAAATCTTGCTTTTTCGAAGACTCTAGAGCATTCAGTAGACGCTGCTGGTGTGAGCAGCGAATTGAGATATCCCGAAGCCACGCACGTGCTCTTGCTGCTGGTGTCCCGACGGGTCGGTGTCAGCCCTCTTCTCGTCCTGGAGGCTGTGAGGGTGGCGTGGTGGCGAGACTTGGGGAGTCCACGTCCCCTTTACCGGAAGCAGGGAGCCCAGGCTTTTGAAAGCCACGTCCTTTACGGTGACCCCTCGTTGGTCCGGACCTCTGTTGCTAACAAACAATGAGCACAGAACAGAAACTGAATGCCCAAGCTGGCGGAGGACTTTGGGGTTCCTTTGCTACCATGTCCTCACCTCACACATAACCCATGAATTCCTGCTTTACTCACCGCTTGGGGGCTTGGCCTCTGGGGCCTGCGTGGTGGGACAGTAGTTGGAAGAATCTCAGGTGGCTGCCAGCAGGTTGCTCCTCAGAGCAAAGGCGGGAAGGAGCAGGTTACACAGTCTCGGGTCTCTGCGCGCTGTGATTACTGACGCAGTGATCCGAGTTACCGTTTAAAGCTCAGCAGTCAGCGTGTTCCAGAGTTGCTCAGAGCGCCCGCAAGGGTGACTCCCAGAAAGAGCCCGGTTCCCCGGAGAGCTTAGGGGCTCATGCCACTCCTAGGCTGTGACTGACGTCTTGCTGGGTTCTGTACATTTCTGACAGCGGTTGTAACAAAGTTACTTGCAACTAAGGAGACTGGTATTTTCCCCACAGACAGGAGGAGATTTGAGATAACTGACCACATGTGCTGCTATGAGCATAGATTGCCTAAAAATACTTGATTGCTACTAAAATTAAGTCTTTTCTTTTTCCATCTTGTGCCAATTTCATTCCTTTGTTGCCTAGGCACTTTTGTGACTTAGTTTTCGTGTCTCTTTAATTTGAAAGCTGCTTCAAGAAAAAGCTCCCAGATCAGTTATGTCAAATATATTTTTTATATCTCCCAGTCTGTTCTACTCATTGTGGATTCTTTTTTTTTTTTGAGACAGAGTCTCACTCTGTTGCCCGGGCTAGAGTGCCGTGGCGTCAGCCTAGCTCACAGCAACCTCAAACTCCTGGGCTCAAGCGATCCTCCTGCCTCAGCCTCCCGAGTAGCTGGGACTACAGGCATGTGCCACCATGCCCGGCTAATTTTTTCTATATATATATTTTTAGTTGTCCAGATCATTTCTTTCTATTTTTTAGTAGAGACGGGGTCTCGCTCTTGCTCAGGCTGGTCTCGAACTCCTGACCTTGAGCAATCCACCCGCCTCGGCCTCCCAGAGTGCTAGGATTATAGGCGTGAGCCACCGCGCCAGGCCTGTGGCCTGGATTTTTAAAATGTCATTTTGTTATACATTAATTACGTTTCACAAATGAGATCATCCGCATGCCGTTAACGTGCTTTATTATTTCACAAAACATGTCTTTGTCACCTCATCTATTTCTATGTCATTTTAAGGACCACATTAGCATATGGCTTTACTGTAGCTCATTTAACCCGCCCGGTCCATGTTGACAGACTCTAAGGTGGTTTCCAGTTGCTTGCAACAGCGAACTCAAACGGTTCTGCAGTGAACAGCTGCTGTGTTTAAAGAGACAGTCTTGAAACAAACATTCCTATAGTAAAAAAGTCGTGATAGCATTTTCCCAAATATAAACATGTAACCAGCTCACGCTGAAGCCAGTATGAATTGTTTCAGGTTCAAGACACTGTGTTTTCAAGGTAACTTTAGTTTGAGTTCTGTTATAAATTAAAAGTATATTAATAGGAGGTTTTAATTACATGAATAAGTCAACTTTCTCTTACAGTTTACACTTGAAATACTTTTCAGTCTATTTACTGACATGCAATACTAGCCCTTTTCTCTGTGTGTTTTGGTGTATGTGAAAAAGTAATACCTTAACAGTGATACCTGAAATGGAACTGAGCTATACGTTTATATCAGACTTACAGAAAGTCTCTTTCTTTGGCCTTTCTGAATCCATTTAATAACCGACATTCCAATTGGGTTCTGTTGTAATTGTGTTTATTCTAGAACGCGCTCTTTGACCTGCCTTCAAGTGCACACGTGCTGAACAGCAGCTCTTGTGGGAAAGAGAACATGTCTGACCCCAGTCTCAGGATTGCTTTTGGAGGAGGACACACACTGACCTTCAGCTTCTCAAGAAATGCAGCACGTTACCGTGTCCAGCGCATGACTTTTGTTTACAGCTTGTCAGACGCACACATTTTCCCCAACGCAAGCTCCAAGGGTAAGAACAGAAATTGACCAATTATGAAGGGATAGAAATCGGGTTGTAGGATTGTCTAAAATTACTTTTAACTGAGTACTGTGAAGAGTTCAAAATTGTGTTTTTTCCCCCCTCCCCATGGGATCTAGAAAGCAAGACTGTGGAATCCGCGACTGACATCCAGGCAGACATAGACAAGAAGTACCGGTGTGTGAGTGCCACCGAGCTGCACATGAGCAACGTGACCCTCACGCTCCGTGATGCCACCATCCAGGCCTACCTTTCGAACAACAGCTTCAGCAAGGGAGGTAAGACGCCAGCCCTTGACCTCTGGTGCTGACTGTCAGACTGCAGTGCCTGCAGGTGACCTCGTTTCCCTATGTCCTGGTGATCTGTGCTTGGAAGGAGCATCCGCTCAGCCAGGGACACAGCTCTGCAGGATGTCCCAGGCCCTCTTCTCCTCTCCTTCTTACTTGTTTTGTTTTTCGAGACAGTTTTGCTCTGTCGCCCGGGCTAGAGTGCCGTGGCGTCAGCCTAGCTCACAGCAACCTCAGACAGTCCTGGGCTCAAGCAATCCTCCTGCCTCAGCCTCCCGAGTAGCTGAGACTACAGGCATGCGCCACCATGCCCGGCTAATTTTTTCTATATATTTTTAGTTGTCCAGATAATTTCTATTTTTTTTTTTAGTAGAGACGGGGTCTCACTCTTGCTCAGGCTGGTCTCGAACTCCTGAGCTCAAACAATCCTCCTGCCTCGGCCTCCCAGAGTGCTAGGATTACAGGCGTGAGCACCCGGCCTCATTGTGGATTCTTAATAGAGAATTGTCGAATGAATGTGTTTCTGTTAAGTCAGTGACTTTTTTTTTTTTTTTGGTTGTAAAATAACTCTTTCCTTGTGCCTGGGTAAGGTTTCCACTGGAGGAATCCCACGTGGGTGTTGGCGCGGGCTGCGGTGGCACTCGTAGTCCGCGCAACGTGGCCTCCCCCAGAAAGCCCTGGAGCACCTCACCCTTCCCTGTGTCGTCACATCTGAGAAAACTTGGGACCTCACAGGTTTTATTTTAAAAGGCAACAAAACACAAGCCAAGGTCGAACTGACTTTCCTGTCTGTTTTTTTGATGAAGAACACAGATACCTTCTCTCCCGAGGATCTTTAAAGTAGGGCAGATGGGCCAGGTGCCATGGCTCGTACCTGTAATCCCAGCACTCTGGGAGGCAAAGGTGGGGAGGATGGCTTGAGACCAGCCTAAACAAGAATGAGACCCCATCTCTACAGAAAACTTAGCCAGGCGTGGTGGCATGCGCCTGTAGTCCCAGCTACTTTGGAGGCTGAGGCAGGAGGCTCACTCGACCCCAGGATCTTGAGGTTGCAGTGAGCTATGATGGTGGCACTGCACTCCAGCCCTGGCGACAGACAACACAGTGAGACCGTCTCAAAAAAAAAAAAAAAAAAAAAGGGCAGATGGTGATACTAGAATGGTCTGAGCTTGCTTGGCCTGGGCACTGGAGTGGACCAGGTGAGTGAGCTCACTGGGTCCATTGGAATCGGACCTCCAGCCCTGGCCCTGGCAGGCAGATAGGTTTGGGGTGAACCCAGCCCAGGCATGTGGGTTTAACGGTTCACCTGAGGATTGGGGTTTATCCATGTTTTTATCTTTAGGGTTGTTTATGTGGGCACTTGTTGAATGAATCAAAGAATTTCTGTAAACGCTAAAAGTTAGAAATAGAGACTGCTTTTAAATACACGTCATCATAAATCTCACCTCCTACCAATCTGGCAGCACTGTTACTGCTCCAGTATGACTTTGTTTTTTGAGACAGGGTTTGGCTCGGCACCCCCCTCCCCCAAAGAGTGCAGTGGCATCGTCATAGCTCACAGCAACCTCAAGATCCTGGGGTCGAGCGAGCATCCTGCCTTAGCCTCCTGAGTAGCTGGGACTGCAGATGATCACCACTGTGCCCAGCTAATTTTTATATTTTTGGTAGAGATGGGGTCTTGCTATGTTGCTCAGGCTGGTATTGAACTCCTGGTCTCAAGCGATTGTCCCGCCTCAAGGCCTCCCAGAGTGCTGGGATTACAGGTTGAGCCACCGCTCCTGGCCTCTAATGTGACATCTTTTGACCTACTTTACAAAAACAAAGTAGGAAAATGAATGTGTCGTATGGATCGTAGGTTACAAGTAATTGTCAAATGAGTGTAGGTTACGCTTTGTCCATGTGTCGCGTGGCTGTCTTGACTAGGACTGACCTGATCTGGTTTTGCACATTTAACTTTTATACGTTTAATCACCTGTTCTGTAACATTTTATAAAGTAACGGGGAAGCTATTTCTAAAAGGACACCTGTGACGTCAGCCTGTAACTCGGCCCACGGGCAGTGAGCGAGGGTGTGTCGGCACCTCCTGGGTTGGGACGTCTCCAGGGCTGTGTCTGCCCTGCCACCGTCACCCAAGGTCACGGTCACTTCTCAGAGCCGGGAACGAACAGTTACTGTGGGTCCTCTTTGTGCCGTCTTCCTGCTCTGCCCAGAAAGGGGTTTTACAGTGGGGACAGTATCCCGAGTGAGCCGACTTCTCGGAAGCTGTGAGGACACGAGCGCGCAGTCGTGGGGAGGTTTCCTCTCTCCCGAAAGCAGGTGGAATCTGAACGTGGGATTAGCAACTGGAAAAGAGTTAAAGTGGGAGCTTCGTTTTAGCTTTGAGTGAGACGTAAACACCACGCGCTTTGCCCGTGGGCTCGCCTGCCGGGTGTTTGGGGCTGGCTCTCCACGACTCGGCCTAGCAGAGACGTGGAAAGGATGGATCGGGTGGAGACTGTGTTACTCTGAGCTGGTTATCCACGGAAGCAAGGTGGTCAGGGAGAGCCTGATTGGGGGTTGAGAGGATGTTGGTCCACAGAAGGCGAGTCTGCTCAGGACGGTGCTCAGTTGTGGTTCTGCTGTTGGTTCAGTCTGCCTTGATCTGACTGAGCTTCAGCTGTGCACATCTCGGGGGGTTCACGTGCTCAGCGTGTCCTGGGGCCACACCTTCTCCCCGAGGGAGCACGCTCGCCTGCGCCCTCGTCACCCCGCCCCAAACGAAAGCCCGAAACAGCCAGCTGCCCCGCTCAACTTGCAGTCTCTGCTCACGTGTGGGTCCTCCCGGACACACCCCACTCCCGCCCTACCCCGGGGCCCTGCCGATCTCTCCAGGCACTCTCCGTGCTGGGGCCGGAGCCGAGGGCTGAGGCCCGCTGTGGGGGCTGTGCTGACTGGGGTGTTGGTGGCACAGTGGCTGGCACGTGACAACTCAGGGAACGATTGTTTGAACTGTTGTCCCCGTTTCAAGTGGCGTGTGGCTGCCCGGACGGCGTGGTCTTGCTGCACATTCACCCCTCGCCCGCGATAGGAAGCGGAGCGCGGGGTGCGTGCTGTTCACCGCGGGCAGTGGGGCGTGGGGGTGGGCAGCGCTTGCTACCCGGAGGCTGGGCCGCGGCGGGTGGACTTGAGTCGTTCTGTGGTCCTCTCCGTGCCTTGCCGCCCCCAAGCCGTCACCGTCTGCAGGACCCCACTTCCGTTCTGTGCTGCTAGAAAGACACCGGCATGCGCCGCCCTTGGGAGACCGCGGGGGTCTCCGCGAGTTCATGGAAATGTTTCTGGTCCTGAGTTTGGATGTCACTGTCTGCCGCTGGTGCCAGGGACCTGGACTTCGAGCTCTCTCCCCGTCCCTGCAGAGTCGCGCTGCAGGCAGGACGGGCCTTCCCCGACCACGGCACCGCCCCGGCCCTCGCCGCCGCCCGAGAGCCCCTCCGTGGACAAGTACAACGTGAGTGGCAGCAACGGGACCTGCCTGCTGGCCAGCATGGGGCTGCAGCTGAACGTCACCTACGAGAGGAGCGACAACACGGTAGGGGGCCGGCCTTCGCTGCCAGCACAGGGCTGTCGGGAGCTCAGCTCGCGGAGTGTAGGTCACACGGCACGAGCGCCAGTGCTCGCAGCGAGTGATGCTCTGGGAACACAGCCGTCCCCACCGCGGACGTCACCCGCACCTACATCCTCTGGCGCGGATGCCGCAGTGTGGCAGAGGCGGCTGCCGGGCCCACACAGCCCGAGATGTGCAGCTGGCCCCTTGCAGACAAGTTTGCTGACCCTGGTAGAACTTACGTTTTCCTCAAACATTTATGCTCAGACACTGCGTTTTACTTTTCTTTTGAGACGGTGCTTTTCCCCTAACAGTGCCGGCTCCAGAGCGTGGCTGTTGCGGGGCGGGCAGGGTGTTGGGAGCCGCACCTCCATGCGGGGACACGCCACCCTGAAAGCATCACTCAGGAGTAGCGGGAAAAATTACTTTTGGAATATGGAAGTCTTTTCTAGTATAAACTCTTACTTTCCTTCTGGTTTTGGTTAAAATGAGTGTGGCCTCGAAGCTACTTGTGTGTTCAAGAGTGGGGAGGACCCAGAGCCTGAGGTGGCGATCTGCTTGCTTCCTCGTTCAGACCGTGGCCAGAGTGCTCAACGTCAACCCGAACAAGACCTCGGCCAACGGGAGCTGCAGCTCCCAGCTGGTGACCCTGGAGCTCCGGAGTGAGGACGTCACCCTCCTGGTCTTCCAGTTCGGGATGGTGAGAGGCCCTGAAGCCTCAGTCCCCCTGGGGACTTTGGCTATGCTCTTCTTTATGCTGCGATTTCGCGCCCGTGGCCTGGCACCCAGCAGGACCCGAGGAGACCTCACTCGTGTCTGCCTTTGCTTCGCAGCAGGCCACTTTGGTCCCCAGGGCCTCGCCCCCTTCTCTGCTACGAGACGCGGGTTGTCCCGGCAGTCGGGTGGGCTGCAGAGGGGTGTGGGCTGAGGCTCCGCTGTGGAGGCTGCTCGGTCCCCTGGCCACACACACCCTGCCCTGCTGCGTGGTGGTGGCGTCCCTGCCTGGGAAGAACCGTATACAGAGGTAGCGCCGTAGCACGTGAAGAATGTAAATGCCACTGGCGCATTCTGCTACTACGCCGTGCAGCTGAACTAACAGTCCAGTCTCCTGTAATAAACTAACTTCTCTAATCCTGCTTCCCCGTACCACTCAGAAAGTTTGCTTTTGAGCACATAGCTGCTGCAGTCCCCGTTTTGGCAGAATCCCATTCATGGAAAGGTCCGGAAGGAACTGCTCGAGGTTTGTGTTCCCAGAGCTACACGAGGCCCTGTACTGGCGGCGGGTTCTGCAGCTCTGCTGTAACGCGAGCGCTGCGGAAGTCAGCCTTGCCGGTCAGGGCGTGAACGTGCGAGTGGTTAAGGACCGTCTCTTTCTCTTTAAGAACGCAAGTTCCAGCCAGTTCTTCCTGCAAGGAATCCAGGTGAACATGACTCTCCCCGACGCTCGAGGTGAGACCCCACAGCTCTCGCGGCCCCCCAGCCCCACTCCAGGCGCCCAGAGTAATCGGACGTCGTATGCATTGCAGACCCCACCTTCGGAGCGGCCAACCGCTCACTGAGGGCGCTGCAGGCCACCGTGGGCAACTCCTACAAGTGCAACGCGCAGGAGCGCGTGCAGGTCACGAAGGCGTTCTCTGTCAACATCTTCAAGGTGTGGGTCCAGGCTTTCAAGGTGGAAGGCGACAAGTTTGGGTCTGGTGAGTAGCACCGAGGGCAGCCTTCACGGTGACCGTGACGCGGAAGCCCCTTCGGGCTCTTCCTGTGGGTATTTAGTAGCTTCCCTGCTGGGCGCGGGGCTTTTAGGGGGAGGGTCCCTGTTCCTCTACAACGGACTGTTGCCTCTTCCCCAGCTAAGAGATCGAGGGAAAGTGCCCTTGCTCTAGAGAAGCCAGCGTAGCTCACAGATAAACACGTGACGCCGTGTGAGCGTGAGGTAGTGATTTTAGGAAACAGCAATGGCTCTTGTCCCATGACAGTTGAATATAAAACTGTCACCGCCTGCATCCTGCGCTCCAGAAGGGCCCAGAAGCCCCGGACGCAGCACGTGACTGGCCACATCCACGCTGTGTGGTGGCTGTGGATTCTAGCGCGGGAGAGGACGCGTCTGCCACTGCCCAGCCTCGTGCCGTCTCTGCTGGGCTGCCCCGGGGGACGGTTAGCTGCCCCTGGCAGCCCTTTCCCTGCCTGTGGAGGGAGGGGCGGTGGGGTCCCGGCCCGAGCGCAGCGGTGCCGCTTGCCTTGGCAGTGGAGGAGTGTCTGCTGGACGAGAACAGCATGCTGATCCCCGTTGCCGTCGGGGGCGCGCTGGCCGGCCTGGTCCTCACCGTCCTCATCGCCTACCTCGTCGGCAGGAAGAGGAGCCACGCCGGCTACCAGACGATCTAGCGCTGCCGCGTGCTCCGCCAGACGCAGCTGCAGGGTCTGTACTCCCCCGGCTTGGCGTCCTGTCGGGGCACACTTTCTGGCAAACTGTTTTTCAGATCTGCTTTATCAAATGTGAAGTTCATCTTGCAACATTTACTATGCACAAAAGAGTAACTATTGAAATGACGGTGTTAATTTTGCTAACTGGGTTAAATATTTTGCTAACTGGTTAAACGTTAATATTTACCAAAGTAGAACCCTAAGGGAGGGGAGAGTGCTTTGCTTGACGGGCACTGGCTCCGCTGTCATCTGACACTTTACGATTCTGGTGTTGGGTTCCTCCCTTTACTCAGATTTAAGGCTCCCAGGGGAAGCCTGGGCCTCGCGCTTAGGGCCCAGGAAGGGTGGCTAATTGTTAGGCTGACATGCTTCAGAAATTAAAAATCGTACGGACAGAAAGTGGTAGCACAGAAGTGTTCCGAAAGATGAACATCTGGGACGCTTCAACTAAGCTTTAAAGCTGGGACGTGGCCCGCGGCAGTCGGCGTTCGAGACGCCCGCGGGCGACCCTCTGGTGTTTTCCATGCTCTGCCACTCAAGAGCTGGCACTTTTTTAACTATAAAAATGGGTGTTATTTTTATTTACTTTTTTTGTAAAGTGATTTTCAGTCTTCTGTTTGGCATTCAGGGTGACCCTTTTCCTGCACTGTGTTCAAGGCTAGGTAGTTAACTTCCGCTGCATCTGTGGCGCGGGCGGGGGGCACACCGAGGAGGGCTCCATGTAACGCATCGCCTGTAACAATGCTAATAAAGTCTTTCTCTTTCGTCCAGGCCTTGTACTGTGTCAGCCAAGGGAACAATGTCAGGGGAATGTCCGCAGGGGCTGCCCCACGCAGCCTGGTTTTGGGACAGTAGGTGTTGCAGCCACTCTCACGGGTGGTGGTTTGATGCTGTGACAGCACAGCCGTATTGTCGCGATGGCCTCAGGCAGACACTGCCCAGTCTTGAGAAAGGTACAGGTTAAAAGGGAGGCGGGAGGCGGGAGGCGGGAGGCGGGGAGAACAGGAGCCGGCATACCTGGCTTCCTCGGGGCCCTGTCGTCCTGTCTGCCGAGGCTCCTCCTCCATGTGCCTGTGGGCGTGTAAATGGCCTGAGAAACTGCGTGTAGAACAGAAGCCGCTACATTCAGGCACAGGGGTGCCCTGCGCCTCGTGCTGGCGGGAGGAAGGGCCCAAGGAGTCGTATGGTCTGTCGGGGAGATGGGGGTCCCTGGGCCGCTGCTGGGCGAGTCTGTCCCTCACCTGGGCCCCGCTCGTCCCCTGCAGGGCTCAGCCAGGTGGCAGGTTTCTTGGTCGGGGGCTTGAGCCCTGAGAGAGGGGTCCGTCGAGGCTGGGCCCAGGAGGAGGTGGCCGTGCCCGGGCGCTGGCCTCTGCCCATCCCTACGTCACACACGCTGTCTGCTCATCGCTCTCGGGGCAGTAACAGGGTAGGTCACGTTTCCCGTCTAAAGGGAAATCACTTGTGACGTGCACAAGCCTCACGAAGGAAAGCGCCACAGAAAGGCGCGGCGAGCGCTGAGATGGCCGTTCGCCAGCCGCAGTGACGGTTCACTGAGAAACGGGCAGTCAGCGCGCAGGTACTGACGCACTTTATTACAGACAAACGTACACGCCTCCCGTTTCAATGCCCGGTAAAAATAATTTATGAAGCCAGATTTCTAACTAATAATCTAAAGGTTGTAGAGTGACGTGATTTTAAATTACTCTTAAAAAACTCACAGCTAAAGCGTAGTGACACCAAGTATTTACAACACTCCGAAGGAAAGCAGTGAGCACGGGTCCCCTGTCGGCTCTGGACGTGAAGCTCCGTCGGGGCCGCGGTCACCCCCGCGCCAGCAGCTGGGCCCTGTGGCGTTCCCGCAGCCTGGCCACAGCTGCCGTGGATAAGCTTCCGGGCTCTGAAAATATTTTCTGGAATGGAAATAGAATTAGCTTAAAGATAATCCAACAACACGTCTTAGCTTTTCCAGACTGGCAGACAGGCGGGAAGACGAGAGGCCGCAGGCCTCGCCTCCAGCGCGGCGAGGGGGCACGCGCTCAGGTGGGTAGTCCCCAGGGGGCTGCCATCCTGCCTCTGCCCTGGGGCCCGCAGCTCAGTAATAATCAGATGAATGCAAAAACCGCCATGTTTCCTTTAGGTTTCTTTTTTAATGGAATAATGAACAGTACCATGACCAAAAACCACAATCACGGCGGGAAACACAAGTGCTTCCTGCAGAGCCAGGTCGGGGGCGGCCAGGCTGGCAGACGTGCCACAGTCCACAGGCTATCTGAGCTTCATTTACGCTAGTCCCCAAGGCCAGGTGGGTGCAGGCCTGGTGTCACTTTGCCTCTGCTGGGGAGGCGGCGGGTTCTGGGGCAGCCGGCCGGTGTGTGAAGCTCCTCAGAGTGTTTGGACGGCAGGTGCCGCGGGTGGACATAGCCCTCCAGGGGCGGCCAGAGGGCAGCGCGGGCGGGTGGCCGGGGCGGGGGCAGCGACACGCCCAGCTCCAGGGAGGACTCGGTCCCGGGGGCTGCCGCAGCTGCCCAGCGGGTGGGACTTGCGGATTCCTTTAGAAGCTGCCTGCTGATCTCGAGGAAAGGGGCTGCCCAACTGCCCGGGAGCTGCGGCAGGGAGAACGCCATCTCCCTGGTTCACTTCCACGGCTCTTTATATTAAACGTTTATGTTCCAAAGTCTGTGAACCCCCACAGTTTGGAGGTGGCCCAAAGTTGTGCCTGTCTTGTCTCTAACCTGAGACTATACTTAACCTGTGGACAAAGCACGAATTCTAAGCAAAAACCCAGCCGCAGCACACCCCGAACTCGGACGCCTGCGGGGTGTGGCTCGGGCACCACCACGCGAGGTGGCTGACGGGGTCCCTTCCGGACCCCTCCCAAGGGAGCTGCTACCTTTGCGCACTCTCAGGAAGCCACAGGTGCTGCGTCTGGCTGCCGGGAGCCAAGGTGACCCCAGCCCACATCTGCACCTGCCCTGAGGCCTCCGCAGAACCCAGGCCTGGAGCCAGCCCTCCAGGAGGCCCCGGTGCGGGGGGCCGAGGTTGCGTCTTTGCGGCATCCTGTTTGCACAGACAGTTTGCGGTGCGCCTGGGTCGCCCACGGCTGCTGGGACATCCGCCCGGAGGCTGTGGAGAATGTCTGTGATCTGCGTCTCTCCGGCAGTCCTGGCTTGGGCGAAGCCCCCAGGGTGGGCCGAGGCCGCAGGCTTTGTCCACACGCCCCAGGGAGAGCTGGCAGAGCTCCGGGGATGTGGCCCTGCCGTGTGCGCTGGCCTTTCCCCCGTAGCACTGCAAGGACAGCGCTGTGCCCGTGGCGACGGCTCGTTTTACCTGACGAGCCCCCAGGTGAATCCGGAGTTAGCTGCTGTCCTGTCAGTTCCAGGTTCACACCCGACGTTCCTCATCCGTCGGCAGCGCCCTCTCTCGTGGGGCCCACGCCCGCCACGCCACCGTTCAGCCAGGGTGGCGGCGGTGCCGAGCGTGCTCGGTGACCACGGCAGGGGGATGGGCCGGCCCAGACTGAGCCACTCCCCGTGCGCCCAGCCGCTCCCTGGAGCCGCCATGCAGTCCTGGGCCGAAGAGGGCCACGCTCGCGTGTTTTCTGGCCAGGTGTCCTCGATTCTGTGTGAATGAAGACGGTCCCGGCCTGTCGGGATCACCCTGCAGCTACCCAGCAGCGTGCGCTGCCCGATGCAAAGCCGCCCCAGCGCCACCTGGGGGCTCCGGAGAGCCATCCCCCTCCTGGGCTCTGCACCCATGGCCGTGTGCCACGCCGCCAGCAGGAGCACCCTGGTGCTTCCTCTGAATGTGTCGTCATCTCAAAGTAAAACGTTAGAAAGCAAGATGGTGGCTCACATCTGTAATCCCAGCACTCCGGGAGGCTGAGGCGGGAGGATGGCTTGGGCCCAGGAGTCTGAGGTCACAGTGAGCTGTGATCGTGCCACTGCTCTCCAGCCCAGGCGACAGTGAGACCCTTTCTCTGAGAAAAGCCAGGTGACGAGATGTGCTCCCGGGTGCCAGCATCTCGCCAGGTCTTGCCAGTGCGACTCCAACTCTGGGCTCAGCTCACAGCCTCTGCCCTCCTCCCCTGCCCTCCTCCCCCTCAGCAGGTCCCGAGTCGCCCTAGCAGTCGACGCAGCCGTACCGCGGGCAGAGCCGGTGGCCTGGGGCTGAGAAGAAAGGGACCCGCTGTGCGCAGGTGCTGGGCAGGCCCGGGGGCGGCGGGTTTGTGCCCTCGCGGCAGGCAGAGGCGGCTCCCGGGTGCAGGTGTGACAGGAGGGAGGCAGCACTGGGCTCTGGGCAGGTGACAGCCACAGGCCGAGGGGGACACGCCAGCAACACCGCTGAGCCCGCCGCGCCGAGCCCGCACCCACCTGCATGAACGTGTGGCACTCCATCGCAAAGCTGCCTTGGGTGATCTGCTTGAACTTGTCACAGATGTCTGGGATGCCGGTGGCTTCCAAAATCAACGCCTGGTGTTGCTTAATTAAGGTCAGGGCCACCCGGAAGATAATCTTCGAGCCTTCGTTGAACAAGCAGTCCCAGATCCGAAGCACAGTCTGCGGAGACACAGAAATCCCGCGTCACTTCCCGGCAGCCCGCACCGCGCCTGGGTCCGCGTGCGACACTCACCTCCACGGGCAGGACGTCCACGAAGAGGCAGATGAACCAGCGGGACACCAGCAGGGCCCAGGGCACGCCGTGCCGGTCCAGCAGGGCCCCCACCGCCGGCAGCTTCGCCCTCACCAGCTCCCCGAGGACCTCCTGGTCGGTCTTGAGGCCCAGCATCCCGGGGCCGTAGTAATCTGCAGGCGGGGGCGGCAGAGAGACCGGAAACTCCGTCACGCTCCACCAGCCCGACGGCCCGCTCCCTCGGTCCCCTGGGAGCCAGAGAAATAAAACAGGGCGATCTCGGAGAGGAAGGCAAAGCGTAAGACGGAGAGTCCAGGGCCAGACGTGGAGCCCTGCGGGCGCAGCGCGTCCCAACGCGAGGTCCCCGGGGGCCCCAGAGCTTGAGGCGGATGCTGCCCGGCTCAGCGCCGGGCGGCAGAATCTGCAGGTGGGGAGCAGGACTCGGAGATGACGGCACGCTCATGGCTCCGTTCTGACCGTCAAGACGGGATCTCGCCGCCGCCCAGGCGGGCGTGCAGTGCCATCATCACAGCTCGCCGCAGCCTCCGACTCCGGGCTCAGCAAAGGGGTCGTCCCGCCTCTGCCTCCCAGAGTGCCGGCACCACCACGCGGCCCCCTCCACTCCCAGCAGCGTCAGTCGCGACAGCCGGATGCAGGGAGCAGCCAGTGCCCGTCGGCAGAGGTTGAACGGAGAAGCGAGACGTGGCCATCGGACAGCGGAATGTCGTCCGGCCTGGCACGGAAGCTCCGGCACAGGCTACAACTCGGCGAGCTCCGGGGACACTGCCGCATGAAGCAAGCCAGACTCGAAAGGACCGACACCGTCTGAGCCCAGTGGCCCCGGGACCAGCCGGATCCAGAGACGGAACGGGCACGGCGGATGCCGGGGCAGGGGAGGCGGAGGAAAGGCAGCGCTCAGAGGGGTAGTTTGTTTCCCAAACGCAAGTTCCAGAGACAGAGAGGGAGGGTGGCGACCGTCGCACGGCAACACGAATGTGCTCAATGCCGCGACGTACACTTAAAATTTAAGATGGAAAACTTTACGTATATTTTGCCACAATAAAAATAAAACGCTCAAATGCTTCTAATGGTGTTTCTTTTGTGAACTAAAATAAAATCTTAAGCCCCCCCAGTTGACAAAATGGACCCCTCTTGGCTAAGGGGACCCCAGAAATACCCTGAAGCTGAGCTGCTGGCCAGGAGGTCAGACACCGAGTCATGCCCCTCCCTTCCTAGAGATGTCCCTGTGACCCATTAACAGGACTGAGGCACAGCTCGAACCACACCCGCAGGACGTCACCTCACCGGGGGAGCCTCAGCCTGTGTCCGGCGGCTCGTCTCTGCCTCACAGACGTCCTTAACTTAAAACATTCCAGGCCTTGAGACAGAGCTTCATGTCGTTAGCCAATTACAAATCAAAGAACCTTTCAACCCTCTATAACCTGTAAGCCCCTGCTTCAAGATGTCCTGCCTTTTGGGGCCCAACCAATGTGCGCCTTCCATGTATCCGTCTATGACTTTACGCGTAATTCCTGTCTCTGTGACATGTACAAACCAAACTAACCCAGCCCCGGAGTCCGCTTGCTCAAGGCTTCCTGGGCGTGGCTCCGGGCCAGGGTCACACACGCTCAGCTCAGAATAAACCGCTGCAGATTATTTTACAGAGTTTGGGTTCCTTTCCATTGACACTTTATTTTGAATGAACATTTGATTTATTACAGCTTTTTTGGGTTTCTTACTTAATTTTTTAGCTTGTTAATATGATGTGTTACAATAAATCTTATTGTTTGATTTATGCTATAAAAGAATTCAGTAAGTAGGCCGGGCGCGGTGGCTCAGGCCTGTAATCCTAGCTCTCTGGGAGGCCAAGGCAGGCGGATTGTTTGAGCTCAGGAGTTCGAGATCAGCCTGAGCAAGAGTAGAGCCTGAGTAGAGACCCCGTCTCTACTAAAAATACAAAGAAATTAATTGGACAGCTAAAAATATATAGAAAAAATTGGCCGGGCATGGTGGCGCATGCCTGTAGTCCCAGCTACTTGGGAGGCTGAGGCAGTAGGATCACTTGAGCCCAGGAGTGTGAGGTTGCTGTGAGTGAGGCTGACGCCACGGCACTCACTCTAGCCAGGGCAACAGAGTGAGACTCTGTCTCAAAAAAAAAAAAAAAAATTCCGTAAGTAATTATGTCACAGAATGGGAGAATCCAGCACATTGTGCACGAAGCGAGGTGTCCCGTCCTGCCACCTGTACACGGTGTGGCCGTTCACCATGGCAGGAGGAATGAGCTGTTCTCGCTAATTTAGTGTCTTGGCTAAACAGAACCACCGTGCACACCCACACGGCGTCACGGGGACGCCCTGATTTTCAGAGCGAGCGCACAGTGGAGTGTTCACAAAGTGCCTGCCAGCAGGTTACCCAGAGTCCAGTCAGCCCTGCAACTGCAGGGATCAAACAATTCTTCCCCTGACATCCTTACTCTGGCACCCATCCCTCTGAGCGCTTTGCTCTTTTCGTTGCAGAAAGCTGAGTTGAGCACATTCCGTTCCCCGTCCACGAGCGGCAGCACAGAGCAAGCCGCGGGACAGCACCCGTGACCTTGGCCCAGCAGAGCAGCTTAGAACAGCTTCCAAAAATAGAGGCGCTAAACGCTCGCCCCAAAATC